CGTCAAGGCAGTTTCTTTCATCTGCCCATATGAATTTCATAGCGGTAAAATGCGTTCTACACCCGCGAAATGCACAGGAGTAGAACAAATTATTGAACCGATAATATTTGCGATAAAAAATGAGTTTCTTTGCATTGTGTCGAGGTCAGTTCCAAGCACACGCATGTGTTCAAAAACGGTACGTATATATATCGAGCGACGAGATCGTTTATATCCAAATAACCTGGAGCAATAGTTTTAAACGAAACTCAAATAAATTCTATGTCTGCACTCTGTAAGGATTTTGAGAGAATCTCCATTACGATTTTTATGGCAAAACTGTCATAAAACCTCTGCAGGATATGTATGTATATATACACAAATTTATCATTTTACTCAGCATTAATAGCTCTATGCTCTTCCCATATTTTAGGCTGTTGTTGTACGCTCTTTTTAAATCGGTATCGATGAATACTTAAAAGTATCGACTGAGAAAATCAATGCGATTGCCACCAATCCGTAGCAAAATAATTTGCGCCGACTATTTCATAAATTTGCGGCGTCACCTTTAAAACATACATACATACATTCTTCGTATGAGTTTTCACATTTCTGAGAGGACTTTGCTTATCGAATAAGAAAACGCCGGACACTCCATAGCCCGGTCTTTGTTTTAATTATCACGCGGACAAACAGACTAAATATCGGACTGTCCGGTCAAAAACGGTTGAACGTGAAAACAGCTAGCCTATTCGCGATTTCGAATTCGAGTAAATTTCTCCATTCAAATTTGTTTAGCTGTTTTAATAATTCGATATATAACTATAACTTAATAAACATTGGTCGACTCGATAAATTTCGATAACTAAGAACTTCGATGATACGATGAAATCCAATAACTATGAACATCGATATTTGAATTTTTAAGTCTTTAGCTCATCAGGAAAAGCTTGCAAAAAGAAAAAAAATGTTTATCCAACAAAATTATTTCTCCTCATATGTACATGGCGTATGAGTAACATTCTTAAAAATTTAATTTTTTCTCGCTGGCATTTAGGGCCAATTTCACAATGCTTAGTTAACTCAGAATCGGGAGTTAACTACAGAATTTTGTACTGAAAATCCCTGAAAGTCACTGTCGATTCTGAGTTAACTACGCACTGTGAAATTGGCCCTTAGTGCTGCCATATCTGTCTTAATCAATAGCCAACCAAGTAAATATCTTGTAATTTCATCAGCATTTATGTATGTGGTTTTCAAATAAATACCCAACGATTATTTGCTCGCTGCTGGCAAATCCACATTTCATTTCAAATTATTCATAACTAGATTATTAAACTAAATACTGATAGACCCTATTTTGCATCAAAAGAAAAAGAACCCCAATTTTTTTTTTATGAAAAGTAAATTACTTCATTTCTATTATACTGCGCGCACACATACACACACATACATACACCAGAGTTGATTTGACTACCACGATCATAGCATTTAATAAAATCTATATTTTTTTTCAAATAAATACTTCCTTCCGCTTTTGCTATTGTAACTTTATGGAAACTGCAGCAGGATGTATGAATACAATTTTACTTTTTTCTTGCCTGCAAACTATGCTCGCATTGAAATGCAAATACTTGCAAACCAATCACTTCCTGATTCAAATACAGTATGCTTCACAAAAAAAAAAATAAATAAAATTGAAATACTACATATGCGAGAAAAGGAAATTATTTACGGCAACAAGCAAATAAAATTTTCTTCTACCCAACGCAAATAAATGTGAAGAATATATATACATATTTGTGTTTGTACATAAACGTATATTAGGGTGGTCAAGAAAAAGTAAAGTCGGAGTTTTAACGCCGCCATTTATCCCCGTTCCCCTCCTACCATACCATCCATCGCTTTGAGGTAAATTTGTTTTATTTGCACTAGCGATAATTAGATCGGACTGGTCTATCATACAAACCAAAAATAAGAAATTAAATAAAATCCTATATTTTTGAAAACCGTTTTAGAGGTCAGATAATAATTTCTTTATTATTAGAGCAACATCACTCGAAAACTAACGGAATCGAATGCGGTTTTCAGCGATGCAATGCTAAAAGTCTAATTTAAATATAGGAAAAAAATAATTAAAGAGTTGCCAGCTGCTTGAAAATAGCAGTTTATGCATATTGTAAATACTGAAATATGGTCGTCAAAAGACAAAACATTTCTGAAGGCTTACAGTTGAAAATATTTTAGGGGAAGGCTGCCACCTGTTTGAAAATTTGAATTTGATTTAATTGATAAGATAAATTAAATATTGCAATATGGGTTTCAAACTAAAGAGGTATAGGAAAGTTTACAGCTAAAAATATTTTTGATGAAGGTTGCCACCTGTCTGAAAATTTTTACTAAATTATTAAATTGACGAAATAAATGAAATATTAAAATAAGGGTTTCTAACTAAAGTGGTTTAAAAAAGTTTACTGCCGAAAACACGCTTTGTAGCGGGTTGCGACCTATTTGAAAAAAAAAAAAAATCAGTTAAAGATATAAGTAAATACTTAATTAATACATCTTTGAACACAGTGTACTTTATGGTAAATCGAGTTATAGGATTATAAATTAAATTTCCAGGACTAAAAATCTTCGGAAATATATATATATGTATTAGCTAGCACCCTTATTCATAAAAATTAAACTATGTTTCATAAATCGAAAATTTGTTTGAAAACCTCACTTCAGAAACGCTTTAAATCTATTTTGTTTTTTTTTTTTTTTTTTTTTATGAATGACGCCATAAGAGCTTTGCGAGGGCGCAGTGAAGCAAACTAAAAAAAAATAAACTAAAATTCTCACAATTTGTCGGTAAATATATAAAACTTTATTGATTTCAATCTCCTGTCGATAAGTGCATGAGATTTTACATATGTATATGGATATTGTAAGTATCAGAGAAGTACCAAACGTTGCGCATGCAGCAATAAAAGCCTTTTAGATTTTAGATTTGCTTCCTTTTATTACTAACATTTTTGTATATTTCCGTACAATCCTTGAGAGAGTTGAAGGTAAGATTTATAGCTATATTGCATTCGACATTGCCTTTGGCAACACAAAGTGGTTATTGTTTACGGCAATGGACAGTTGCCAATGCTACACGAGTATTATATTTCAACGCGCACACAATGCTAAAAGTGCTTATGGCGTGAGAATGGAAATGAAGGTGCTGGCGATGCGATGATGGAGGCGAAGCAGAAGGAAAAGGCGACGGAAAATAGCGATTGTAGTAATCATTGCAGCATCCTCTTCCAAGCAATCCATAACGAGTGTGCCAACCAGCCAGCCAGCTGCACGATGCCACACAACATCACCATTGCCATTAACGCAACCACTACCACTACCGCCACCGCCACTACCAATGCCAACAACTCTCTACCTCTGCGTTCGTGATAGTCAATGCAAATATTTCGTCCTTGACATCTTTCATTCAATCTAAGGTGGATTGTTTTGTGCGCACACACACTCGCATACACACGACCACACGCATGAATACACACTACAACTGCCCACCCAATCATACCAATATGGACATATGTATGTATGTATGTATGTATGTATTGCACATGTGCAGAAATGTATGTATGTATGTGTAGATAAATATATGAATCCAAATTGATGCTGTGCAAATGTGCTCATGTGAGTCAGAGTATACATTTGAGAATGCAAGTTCAAATATTTGCACAGTCATTGCCGCCAGCCAAGCTGTTAGATGATGAATGACCAAATGGACAGAGCACTTCGGCACGAAACTGTGTGCGAGTGCTGTAGAGGCCCGGAAATGGTCATTTTCCAAAAATACGAGAGCTTTGCTCTGTTTTCCTATCGTTGCGTAGCGTTGCGTATTCTATGTATTTCCTAGTCTCTACGTTATTGACATGACTAGATCATTGATTTCCTAGTGTTTCCTAGTGATATTTATTGATTCTGTTTCGTTTCAGGCGCGCTCCAATTTGTATAATTTTCAAACAAACATAGATAAATGCGAACATATTTACATGCTCGTACATACATGGATCTGTGTGTTTTTGTAAGTAGTTAAAAAAAAAAAAAACAATTTTAAGAATATTTATATACGAGTATGTTATCGAAAAGGTGCGAAGAGTTTACCGGATATTAAAGTAAAATTTATGTAAATCTAAATATTAAGATAAGCTTCCTAGTCGATTGTTGGCTTAAGAACCCTGGAATATTCTTGCCCATCAATGATTTGCTTGTATACCGGAACGTATGAAAATTTCCTATAATAATACCAAGCATACTCAGTGAAAAATATTCGAGATTTTCACATTTTTCTCTTTTTAACCTCATCAAAATATTTTCAAACTAAACCCTTCTTATACCTCTTACCGCTGACACCCATATAGTGCTATATATTTCAATGACCTACGTTTCTTAATTCAAGTCGAATTTAAATTCCTAAACTGGTGGCAACCCACTCACAAGAAATTTAAAAATAAAGCCTTTTCTCAAAACCATTTCCAAACTAAAGATTTCTTAACACTCTTTCGGTTGCACCCATACATTAATATTTCATACAACTTAGGTATTGAAAAAGCTTGATTTGATTTGATTTTGTTAGGACTAGAAATTGAACCATGAGCCTGCCGAGTAGCAGTAGGAACAGCTAAGCACTCGGCTACGGCGGCAAGAGCTCTACACAAATCCGAAAAAACGCCATAAAGTATCTATTAAAAAAAATGTTAAAATAACACCAACCATGATGAAAAAAAAACTTTGAACTTACTTTGCTTTTCTCTCTTCCATATAAAAGCTATCTTTACTGTTAATAGTTTAATTGTAATAACAACTTAAGCATTTTCACCGTATGAAAACTATGTAAAATAAAAACGATTTGTGCTGTTTTTTCTTTGCTTTACGACAATACATTTTTATTTAACTGACACTGACTGACGCCTTTGTATAGGGTATATTATTTATTTTATTAAAACGTAATAAAATTGTTTCCTGCTTACCTTCCAATGAGCCGGTGTATATTCTAGAAATATCATAATCCACTGGTCCATGCGTACTTTCGATTTCGACATCATTAGCAAATACTGACAGTGGATTCTGATGTAGAACCATGCGAAATTCTCTGAAATAACAATATGAAGAACAAATTTATTAGTTAGCTATGGATGAGTCTCTAACCCAATGCACGAGTAGATGGAATGATTCGAAGATCTAGAAAAGTATGATTTTTTTTTTAATAGAAACAGCAGTATAAGCTAGAGTATATATTACTATAAATTAATTAATTATGCATCTTTCCGATCAAATTATTAATACAGACTGGTTCTAGAAAGTGGTTAGTATATCCTGTAAATCCGAGCTTTATAACTTGATGAAACGACTAAACTGACACTAAACGGATCGAACTGAACTTAGGTATTCTATCTGAAACTAAACTTCACTTATTTTGACATCTCTGCCATGTGTTACAGACCAGTCAGTCGCTACACGTTTTTGCTTAAAATTCTAGAGAGGCTGCTTGAGCTGCAAATTAGGCACAGGATTTCTGATGGCCAGTAGAGATGGCCTTGCGCACAATTGGGACGTCGATTGACGTCATACATAAAGACTGCAATGTAGCTGCTTTTCTCGATAACCAGGGGCCTTTAACAATGCACTACCGCCGTGCAATAGTACGATCCCTGGTAAGTTTGTGGCCGAAGCTGACCTTGACACCGCATAACCAATGGGGTAGTGCCACCATCTAGCGCAGAATTACCTGGGGAACGTCTCAGGGTGGTGTCCTCTCGCCACTTCTATGGATCGTGGTCATAAAAAACATGCTAGAACCTTAAATTTAGGCTTCCAGATCGCTGTGGTATTTTTCCGGCGGAAGCTACTGCCATTAAAGTAGCAGTCATTTGGTCGTTGTTGTGCGCGATGGCGGTAACGAGATTAACAGCTATTCAGACAGGCTTAATGCCTTGCCGAAGCTTGTAGGGGAATGCCTTAATTCACTTTCGATCTCGCCTTAAAATTACCTTGTCAGACTTGTATGGGTGCCATGCCATGGCGATATCGAAGGAAACTGTGTGGTTGTTGAACTGGCCAGGGGCGACACTCTCGTGTCAATATCGCCAAGAAAAGAGTCGGACTTTGCTTAGAAAAAAGCCTTCAGTAAACTCAGCGAACGCTGAGTGAAAAACAGAGCATGGGCCAGGGCGGTCTAGGTATCTCCTTAGGTTGACGAATCCGCCTTATCTTACTTCTGGTGGGTCAATGTCCTATCGAGGTTTACTCAGTACGACAACAGACCCCTTTCGTCGCAGATGCATGCAGGACGACGAGATGGTATCATTTCAACAGTTCCTTAGCCTGCGTAGCTTTTGCAAGACTGTGGCTTAGGAAACTGCGTTCGAGCTTTCTAACTGGTTTGGAGCAGCTCTTTGGACTAACATCTGCCGCCTGATGAACTTCGTTATCGGCACGCTGTGATTCTCGGTTTAACCTAGCAGTTACCGTTAGCGGTGCTGTTACAAAGTACCAACACTTACGGTCCAAGGGATCAACCATCTTAACCGAACCTAACACAAGTACAATATTCATTGGAATTCCTTTATAAAATTTTTAACAAGTCTTTAAGCTGCTTCGAGTAAACCATTAATATTACTAATCTTTGGAAAAAAATATGCATAGCTAGTAAGTATGTATGTACATATTAGAGGTTTACGCCGACAGGCTTTGCGGCGGCGGCGTGGTCAACTTGAAAAAGAATCGGCGGCGGCGGCGACGCCGGCGCGTCTGAAAACGCCGGCGCTACTGCCCATTAGGTAGATTCGAAAGAGACATAAAGCTACTAATCTTATCATGTCATCTCGTCAGCGTTAGGCATTGGCCATGCCAATTCAGATTGTAATTGTATTTAATTAATTCATTGAATTAGTTTTAAATTAAAATTACGTTACTTTCTACTTGAATTAAAATGTTGAGTGTCTGCTGCTGATGGATGGGCAAACAGAAGAAAGTCCGACGTATATAAATAAATACATCTCTATGTTCTCTACAAATCCGTATATGTATACTACTGAAATTTAAAGAAATAAAAAAATTTAAAATGTTAAGTTATTGGGGTAATTTATGTCGCTATCAAAATTTTTTTGCAATAATCTTATCATCCGTTATGTTAAATTACGGAGTTGTTACGATTCTTTGCGGGTCATATGTATATTGAAAACAAGGTTTGGTCAACTTCCACCAGAACGGGCCTTTCTGGCCACTTATAGGTAGCTAAAATATCCACTAATACTGAATGTAATGAAAAATAATAGTAATTTTTACGAAAAATGGGGACTTTAACCCTGTGTAGAAGACATTGCGATGCGCGGGAGCAAACGCCTCCTGGGATTTGACCACCACTTGGGAACAGGGCTTCCAACTATACTTAGCTATGAAGTGCCATATTGAGGATAAAAAAGTGCCAAAATGTGCCAAATAGAAAAATATAACGTGTTACCTATGTTTTTTCTGAGTTACGCTTTTTTGGAAATGTTCAGTGGCCCAAATTATGCGAAATAACTCCTTTAAAAATTTAATCCTCTTTTCGTAAAATAGTGTCTTTATACGAGTAGTATTTAGTTCCTTCAAACGATGTATTTTAATGTGCATACATCATGAAAATTTTGTACAAAATTCCTTAGGCGCCGAACGCCGCCGCCGCCGCCGCCGCGCCGATATTTACGTAACTCGGCGGCGGCGAGTGAGAAATGACAAAAAACGGCGGCGGCGGCGGCGTGGCTCGGCGGCGTATACCTCTAGTACATATGTATATATGTATGTATATATGCATGTATCTCACTTTATATAACAATTGAATATTGCCAACTTACCTGTCATGAGCAAAGAAATTCAGTCTGATAGTGTGAACTGGACCAAATTCGCCCGAATACAGTTCTCTTTTTCGCCGATGGCGCTTCTGTTCGATGTGTTTTTGATGTGCCGAATGCAAATACGAGCGATCGAAGTCCGCTGCCTCCCAATGGCGTATGTAGGGTGAGAGCTTTTGTGTGTGTCCTGGAATACAATGTAAAAACATAATGTGAAAATTTAATTATCCACGATATAAATAAATAAAAACAAAAAACTAAAAGGGTATACTATATATATATATATATAGAAGAAGACAAAGTATAGAAATAATGCCACAAACAAGAAAAGACAACCAACAAATTTTTGCGTTCAACTTTAATTAGCTACTTTTTTTGTGATTGCAATTGTCGAATCGAGTGTATATGTATGTATGTATGCAAGTATTTTGTTGCGGTAATTACCAACAATAGCAACAAAGTTTTCGTGTAAAAAGTTTTAAGCGCACAACCGCAAAATGAAAACTTTGTGTGATATTTATTTTTTATTGTATTACAAAAACAAAATATGTATGTATGTATGCATGCGCGCTGAGGTGTACTAATTGCAAAGTTGCACAGCACAGTCATTTATAATATTTTCCCGTTTCTTACTCTTTATAATAATAACCATATGCGTGTGTGTTTGTGTTAGCACTTCTGTGTATATAATGTTTTGGAGGAGCATTCGCTTGTACTTAAAGTCGACACATATGGCATGCGAGTAATTGTTTAAGTCATTGTACATTAATTTTGTAATTTTCTACTTCAGTAACGTTTCAACACATACACGCACATTGGATTTTACAAATCTTATCATACACATATGTAGATACATATGTATGAATGTATAGATGGATTTTCATACATTAGGGTGATCGGTGGTCGACTATATGATGAAAGGAGCCAGTGAATGGGCATCAGCCAGCGACACATTTAGCAACCGAAGAGCCTAGAGAGACAGCGGCGTATCACCCGCGATTAAACCAACTCAAAGCGTAGCCGCTAATCAAAACCAAACTATTGAGTTCACCAACCAAAGTGTAGGCGCGGATTGGAACCTAGGCCGTTCAAACCGTAAAGGCAAAAAAAGTTGATTTCAGGATACCATCAACTAGTACTTAATAAAAATACTAACTAAGGTAAAGAGTTCGTTTTTACAGTGAAGCAAGCCTACGTCTTGCACACTGAGCTTTTAGTGATTTTGGTGCAATTTTAGAGTAGTATCGCGCTAAAGTAAATTCTTTGTTGGTGTTTTTTAACTGAAGTTTCTTAAAAAAAAAATTTCGTTATACAATAAAGTAATACGAAAATGAATAACTAATAAATATTTTGTTTAGGTACTAACCAATTCCGGACAATGATCGTTATGTAAAACGAATTTTTATTGTACAGGCTCTTAAAAATTATTTCTTTTTTTCTACTACTCTTTGTCATTATATTATTTATTTCTACTCAAGAACGTTTAGATTTAATGAATATACAACTCTGGGAGAATAATATCGAGCATCAATATATCGGCAGCTGAGTGGAGGATCGCCCTATCTCAGCTGCCGATAAATTGGATTTATATTGAGGTAGGGTGCTTTTGAAGCGGCAGCTGAAATGGGGCAGGTGTGACCGAAATTCTGAGGTAGGGCGTTCTTCAATCATTTACTGAGATAACACTGTTTATGTTGAAAGTTTCATCCCTAAATATAGTGGATGATAACGCAACGTCTCAGAAAAACCCATAGCCATAGAAAAACTTCGTCAAGTGAATGCGTAAAATAGTTTTTATTGTTTTAGTCATACGCGCTCCTTTAAGCTCAGATGGGCTGCATGCGAGAAACTCGTTTTCTATTGATTACTGATTTCCCCTGTTGTAAATAACCTCGAATATTTTTTGACTTTTTTTCTTCTTATTTATTTTTATTTTTAATTTAGTTTTAGTTATTTTTATATAAAATCTTGTTTATTCCTTAACAAAAACTGTATAACTGAAAGTTTAAAAACTTTGTGCAACATTTAAAAAAATCAACAAACTTTCGTATAAAATTCGAGCCCTTTAATAAGATTTCCTAAAAAGATTGGGAATCTGCAGTTTTGTAGTCTATTAATTTTGGTTATAATAAAGTGCAAGCTGGAAGTAGCTATGATTTATTGTTGTACCGTTTGTTTTAGCAAAATTGTGCATTTTATTTAATATAACGTATGTTCGACAATTAGTTTAGTAATAAAAATAATATTCTACATCAAAATTGTTTTTTTTTTTCTAACAGTAGATGGGTCTAAGAAAACATTCGATTCACTTTAGAAAGTCTAACAGCTTACGTTTGTTTGTTGACAGTTATGTGGGTCTCCTGCCCCACTGTGCGGCACAGCTTAGAAGCTTTGCATATATTTTGCATGGGTAAAGTTAAATTTTTCATTCCTTCTCAAATATTTTACTTATTATTTTTTCAAAATAGATAATCTTATCTCTTATATACAAAAATGTGTTATTTTGTATGTCGTAAGCACATCACGCACGTCCTGAAGAAAGTGTTAGTAAGATTTCATAGTCAAATATGCTATTTTTTTCTATTTTTTGGCCTAATAACTAGTCATATTCAAAAATTTAGTTGAGCTCCTAGTGAACTCGATAAAGAAGTCTGATGGGTAGATGTGGTGATCTCGGAAATAGCAGCTTTAACTTCTACCATTTGTAAGCTATTGTGGTTTTACCACAATAATTTTTCATTAATGACCTCAAGCTCAATAAAATTGTCAAAATTGAGACATATTCTTATTCGATCAAAAATATTTATTTTTAACGATTTTATAGCAATTCTGCCAAATAGTTGATTTTCCAGTGGTTTTTGGACCACCCTAATGTTTGTTCATACTTATGTATGTTCGTATGCGTATCTCCTCTTTCATCGCTATTGCTTTTGAAATTTTCCGTGCGCGCTCGCAAGTCTTTCGTAGCCCCGCTTAAAGTTTTTTGCTAAAGTTTTGAAACGCAATCTACCATAATGCAGTCCGTTGCACACACACACACGAAAGCATCTACTTATATACATTTGTACAGTAAATTACAAAAACAAATCGTATGAATACACATACATACGTTAATAGAAGGCGTTGCGACGTGTTAAGATCTAATCGACGCTCGTAAATTTATAACTGAAAATTATGAAAAATTGTCTTACTTGCCATGTATTACTACTTTTTTTCACCGTAAAATACGAACGTGACTTTACTCGCTTTGACGGTGCTGAGTCGTAATAAAAAGGAAATACAACAAACTTAAAGTTCAACTCCAATTCGTCTAACTGCACTCATAAAAGCACAGTAATTTCCGCTACGTTCCATTGCCAGTCGCGACAATACACGTCTCGAAAGTGTGCACAGAATATTAAAAAAAAAAAAAAACAAAATGAAACATCCGTGCAATTAAAATATACATTAACTATTGTGTGAGCATTTTCCTTTTCCTTTTATTTTATAAAAGCCTGCCATTTTATTGTTTGCTCCTAGTATTTCATCAAAGAAATAATCACTTCGCTGCAGCGCCATATTCAGCGCTTTATGTATGTGTCTAATCAAAACAAACAGCAACAAATGAATTTGTCTGCAGCGCAATTATGGTAATGGCAAGCGCTATCAATCAATTTGTTTAATCGTTTAATTGACCCTGAGGATACGAAATGCTGCTGGTCGCTGGCCGCTGGCTCAGCGTGAGACCCAAAATCGTGAAATTATTGCAATTAATTTGAATTTAATTTTTGTTTGTATCCTGTAATTGCCCAATTTGATGAAGACGAGCGACAGATTAACACTTAATTAATTATTTTCATACATCCACAAAAGCATTTAACTACTGTTCATTTTGTATTTGAAACTTAATTGTGAAACAGATAAGTATTATTTGTAAATAAAAAGTGTATTTATTTTTTTTGCAGAAATTTTATAGGTGAGGACGGTGAGAGTATTTTAAACTTCCAATAACAAGTTGTTTGGTTATGGCTTTCATTGCGTATATGAAATATTCTTCCTCTTTTATTTATTTTTTTATTTATTTTTTTGTTTTGTAGAACATTGAAAGCCGATAATGGCCGATATGGGACTTGGCAGGTCAAATTTTGCAGCTTGGTAATAACTTCGCCGTCCAGCTGTCTTTTCCTATTCTTTTAATCCACTCAACTCCGAAAATAAACGTTGATGTAAGCATCTCTAAAATACCTAGATTCATAAAAGAGTCAAAATCACTACAGAATCTTATGTCTTTGCCCAGCAGCTCCCACTGAGAGTAGATTATATGTACCCAGTACGGCATAGCTTAACCAATTTCCTCAGACAAATTAATTTATTTCTGTTTGTGCAACAACTGACTTCACTTTGATGTATAATCACCTAGATAAACCAAATGCTTACACATTTGATATCTTTGCAAACAATTCAATATTAGTTGACAAATCATCTAATTTTGGGCAATTAAATATTTCAGCATTTAATACTAAGTAGTTTTAAATTGGTTGAAAAGACATCAGCAAATATATGTAACAAATATTTTTACATTTTTATTTATATAAAGTGCACACAATAAAAACTGGCCATTTGAAAGCACATTTACATATCTGGCTATAGCCAGTATTGCCGTTGTGAGACTAAAGGGGCAATTTTACCCTTTTTAAGCGCCGATACCCTTCGACCCGACTTTTTGAAAATTTTGATTTTCTGACCGATTTTTGTTCACATTGCCATCTTTCGAATAACTCGAAAACCGGTTTTCGAAGAATAAGCGAATATATGAACATCCTATTCTGGCCTACTTTTTACAAAAGTTCTTAAAAACCTGTATTTCTTTTTTAAGCTTAGAATCATTTTCTTCAGAAAATGAAAATTCATATAAAATTACGCTTAAGAATTGAAAGAGAAATTTTAGTTTGTTAAAATTATTCCAATAGGTTGACTGCTCTCAAGAAGGGATGAATGCTGGTTTTAGGGATGTTTGCAGCTCTCAAGAAAATCTCAAGTAATATTTTTCATTATTTCAGTTGCTTGAAAAAGTAGTTTGCTTTTGCTGTAAATTTTCTTGAAAAATATTTAATTTGCTATTTCTTATCAACCGACTTCATAAAAGGCGGAGGCTATACATTTTTCGGAATATTTTTTTTTAAGTATGTTACCGCATAACTTTGGACC